GAAGAACAACAGTTACAACGGTGAGTAACCGTCTTTTATCTAAGAATAGCGGGACTAATCTAATCACATGACATCTATGAGACGGTGTGATATGGACATCTGGTTATTTGTACTTTTCAGCTTCTGCCTTGCTGGCAATGCTCCTTCAGTTCTTTGCCTCCTGCTGCTCACTTGCGTCAGAGGGTCAGCAGAAGGTGAAAGCAAGAGGAGCAGCCATCTAGACATACTGTTACCAAAGTTGGCATTTTGAAACTGACCGCGTATTTCAGTTCTTGCTTCTCACTGTTCCTTTGACAGGGAAAGGCATTTAATGGTGCAGTAGGAGGAGGCAAAATTGGAAAGAGCAGGTTTTTATCCTCATGCTAAGGTCCTGAATTAGCAAAGCACTTAATCACATGCGTAACGGGGAGCAGTGGCTTCAAATGGGACTGCTCCTGTGCTTAAAGTTGAGCAGGTTGCTCAAGTGCTTTTCTGGCTCAGGGCGTAAGGCTGCAAAGCATGACCAGCACTAACACACCATCTGAAGTCTCTAAGTGGCCATTCCCTATGATCCGATTGGGGCAAAGGCAGTTCCAATTTCTTTTGTCTGGGGCAAGGATAAAGAGGGAAAATCTGTCCCCTTCTCTGAGACCTTTTCTAGATATTTTTAGTAAGCTTAAAGAACAGAAGTAGTGGTATTTCACATACTCCTTTTGGCAATCCATCCTTTTGGGAAAGACAATTCTGTGGAACACCAATCCCTTACCTATGTGTTGTGTTAGCAAATAAGTGATACATTTGTCATTGCACATTTTTTTTTGATTAGTTACTTGCCTTTGTTTTTCTTCTAAAGTCATACAAACTGTTTGTTATGCCCAACTGTGTTTCTTACACTTGTTCACTAAATATCAACACAGCTGCAGAGTAAATCAGTATTCCATCTGAAGTGGATGAGTAACTGGAGGGCAGAGCTGGAGGCAGGGAAGAAAAAACTGAATACTATCAAGATCCTGACAATTTGGCTCAGAGGACAAAGGGTGGGGTTGTTCAGTTAGTGGACAGAGTATTGTTGATGCAAGTCTGGGTTGCCTCTGCTTAGGGCAATCTCTTTTAACTGCAGTGAAGTAGGCTGCCAGGGGCGTAGAGTTTAATAAAATGGAATTAAAAGGTTTGATTGGCATGCAGTTTAGGAACAAAATCAGTGACACCCCTCACTTTGCCCTGTGTTGTGCAGAAGTTTTATAACTAAATTCTTAACCAAACAAAGCTAACCTTGTACTGTAAAATATTTTTTTAAAGCATCTGCATTGTCCCTAATTTTCTGATTACTGTACCCGTGTGACGTTGCACTCAGGACACCCAGAGCTGTGAGCCACCATGTTCCCACTCTGCCTTAGCAAGAGTGAGCGTGTTGCTGCTGATAAGGTATGTGTCAGCTTTCTGACACATCAGCCTGTCTGCCTTGCCAGCAAACTCTTCAGGACTCTGACAGCCTAAACCTTGCCTTGTAGGTGATAATCAGTGAACCCCAGTTCTCGAGTTCCCCAGAGATGTCTCCCTGCAGTGTCCAGTCCCTCTCACTGGACACTCACAGAAATTAAGTTCCCTGCCTCCAGAGAGACAATATACACACCAACATGTTAGGTTAGCTAAGACTCACACTTCCATACAACAGCACTGAGATGATTTTGTAATAAAACAAGAATAAATTTATGAACAAAGAACAGAAATTGAAGTGATACTAAGCAAGAGAAAGAGACAGGTATGGTTACAAATAAAACAAAAGAAAACATGCTATAAAATAAGTGACTAAAACTTAATCTTTCTTTGCCTAAGCAGTTTTTGTATGTACATCAAGTTACCAGCATTCATAGCGTTTCAGACTAGGGGATCCAACTTTTACAGGCTCAAAGCGTGCTGTACCTATGTCTTCTCAGTGATGGGCACCTAAGGGGTTCTCTCCCTTTCTTGTTATAGACAATAACCCCCTGAAATGTATTCTTCGAAAAGTAAGCACAGAAGAAGTTCCTCTCCCCTGCTGCTTGTTCTTCAGGCTAAAGGCGCCAAGCCCCTTTATTCATCCTCTGGTCAATTTGCTTTTTTAATTAGTTTGATCACTTTATTTACCTTAGATGCAAATGTACTTCTGTTGTACTTTGCTTGCAAAGCTTGATCCTGGCAGACTGGTGAATCCACATTCCTTTGTCTAGGACAAACCTGTTTATCTGCTCTACTCAGATTGCTTTCTCTGAACACATTTTAGGAACATATTTCCAGCACACCTGTGTAACACTTTACACGCTACCCATGCGTACCTCACTCAGTAATACTATCATAGAATATTAGGGTTGGAAGGGACCTCAGGAAGACCAATCCCCAGACAGATTTTTACCCCAGTTCCCTAAATGGCCCTCTCAAGGGTTGAACTCACAATCCTGGGTTTAGCAGGCCAATGCTCAAGCCACTGAGCTATCCCTCCCCCCCGGTGACAATCACTGCTAATCACCACGGTGTTACCAACTTTCAGAAAACCTCTTATTCAATACACGTTTATAGTATAATAATATATACAATAAGTTGATTTAATTGTTTATTCCTTGTGGTTCAGATCCTCTTTTTTTCCCCCTGGGACATCTGCACCTGATCGTCACATCACGTGGTGTGAATTTTATAATAAGGGTACTTGCTGTCCTGTGTTGCCTTTGCCCTGGTTTCTAAGTTTCACTAGATCCATCTAAACATGAATTTACATAATCTTTCAGATTAGTTGAGTCATGGTGAAGTGTCTGTCCCAAATACCGTGGGGTTGGACACACAGCATAGATATAAATGATATGGTGTCAGGAATGGGAATTCTACAAAGACATCATTCGGTCTTTCTCTTTCCTTCCCAGCTCATCACTGCCGTTGTGACAAAGAACTGGAAGGAGATAGTTCAGTCATGTGATTTGCAAAACTGGAGAGAGGCGCTGGCTGCTGTGTTGACTTATGCTAGGCCAGATGAATTTGCAGCTCTCTGTGGTAAGAAAACTTAAGAATGGAAGTAATTTATTTTACTCAACTTTAGTGAAACTATGCTTTTAAATACTCCAAAGTTCTTTTCCTTCAAATGAATTAATTTATTCATAATTAGTTCGTTCATTGGATAATTCCTTTATTTTGGATTATGGGAACTCATTGGAATTTTAAAGGAATACAATCAACTTGAAATCAATACTCTATTATCTTTCATCTCCTACCCAACCAAATCTGCCTGTGTTCCTGGTTCAACATGCAGCTCCCCCTATTGTATCTGTTCTGTGAACAGATAGCTCTCCAGGGATGTCAGTCCAACTCTTTTTTTCATAAGGCATTAAACTCATTGTTTTAATTTTTTGTAATAAAAGAAACATACCCCTCAACGTGATCCATTCCTAAATCATTGTACCATTCAAAGGTGTTTGTACGTGGAAAGAACAGGTATGCCTCTTCACGGCCAAAGCAAAGCACAACCACTGTTATCTTTTCCTATAAGCCAGCAGTGATGCCCATTAATTTGAGAGCTGCCTCTGCTAAGAAAACAGTATATAATATTCTTTTCTTATGGGATGCCAATTAAAATGTTTCAGAAACATGACTAGATGAGGCAGAATTATCAGACAGATTAACGTGATTTGTTGGGGAAGAGTCAACATGGCTTTTGTAAAGGGAAATCATGCTTCGCACATCTATTAGAATTCTTTGAGGGCATCAACAAACATGCAGACAGGGGTGTTCCAGTGTACATAGTGTAGTTGGCCTTTCAGAAGGTCTTTGACAGGGTCCCTCACCAAAGGCTCTTAAGCATAGTAAGCAGTCATGGGATAAGATGGTAGGTCCTCATGTGGATCAGTAACTGGTTAAAAGAGGAAATAAAGGGTAGGAATAAATGGTCAATTTTCACAGTGGAGAGGTAAATAAAAGGGTCCCCC